GGATGCAGATCTCTTCAAAATGTTTTGTTCCGCTTTAAAAGACGTCATTACATTGCATGTGCACGTCTTTCCTGCGGATGCAATGTGATAAAGTCGTGGCTTTTAATTAAGTAATCGTCAAAAAGGTCAGCGCGAACGTTTCTTTGGGTAGAATTTTGTCTGTAATATAGTATTTCTATACTAAAGTAACAGTGGCGATTCATTTTTGGGCCTATGCCCGCTTAATTTTTTTTCCAAATTTTGTAAACGGAAGGAATGGAATATTTGTAATCTTGCCGTTAAAAAGAAAAAATTATACAGTCCTGATCACCATAGTATAGACCAAATCTCAATATAATTAGTCCTATTTTTAGGTAATGGTTTAAAGCATTTAGAGAAGCGATCGACCATTGTTTATATGGCCTCCTGATATAACTTTTCAACAAAGTTTAATACAACGGATGTAAATTAATTAGCCAGGTGCCATGACCAAAACATGCCTTGAAACAGTCGGTAGCAGATATACCTTGTTAAAGGGTTTTGAAATTCAACAAAAGAAACATGCTTAACAAAAGAATGCTTGGAGATTAAAATTTTTGTTCCCGCAGATCGGTAAAAGGATAAAGATCGGCGTCTAGCACTTTACGTATGATCTTCATTGCCAGCTTTTTAAAATGAAATGCCGTTCGGTTTGTCACGCGACAATATTTTTGAACAGCTTTGAATGACAACAAGTATACGATTTATTGCAATTTTGGTGGTACACCACAGCGTAATTCTCGAGTAAAAACCGCGTTGATGTTTTTAAAGACCTCTGCTACGTATCCTCAAGGTAATTGAATTTGGCGTCGTTGAGCGTTTTGAAAGTTGGCTATTAAATTGACGTAAAATAAATATTAAAACGCTTTCTTCACCACTGGAAACGGAATTTTAAATTTTGTGACTTAAAATTGGCATTTCCCAAGATGTTTGAGATGAAAAGGCGCATAGCCGTAAACAAATGGACACTGTTTTAGATTATGTTGTGATAAAAAAAATTATCGATTTAGGCGAGATTCTTTTAGCCTTCGTGCAGGCTAGATTCTTTTGTATATTTAGTAAACATTTAAAGGGTTAGTGTTGTTTAGAGGCAAAACTGATCTCGTGACCTGAACATAAACAGAATAATCTTATTTCCTTAAGAGTTTGTTTAACTAATAAAAATATATTGAAAAACTGTCAGGCTAACAGGTTTTCAAAAGCCCACAATTTCGATCCGTTTGAATCTTCTTCAGGTTTGTCCATTCGTGCCTACTTTTTGTATTTTCTGTGTCATTAATTCCTTCTTTTAATGTTTTGCGCGATAATTGTTATGTTTCAGTCAATTTTGGTGGTATTTTTGGATAAAATTCGTGACACAGCAAGCTACAGCTGCTTAATTAGATGACACAATCTTTCTCCTCTTACTTCCTCTCCGTCTGAAGTTTTGGGAAGACCGTCGTCAAATGACATGCGGAAAGTTTCCAGCGCTTGTTTTGATACTTTCAAAGCAAACTGGGCGTCAATGTGGCTGTATTCCTCAAAATCATAGGGCAACCATTGAAATTATTCTCTTCCATTTTTGCGAAAAAAAGAACATAAAACACTCAGCTAACCAGACTTTTAAATCATTCTGTTCTGTCATCTGGCAAAAAAAATTCTCGTTTTTTTTCAGTGTTTCGCATTTTTTGTTCACTACGCTTGACATAGAATAGGTAACGCTGACATTCGAGCATTTAGCGTCTGGGTATCATTTTCGTTTTACAGTAAGTTATATATTTTATATCAAGTTGTTTGGACTTGTGCAATGTACTATTGCAGTCAAATTATATTGATACCAAGGCCGACATTTAAGTTAAATGCAGTTTTTGGTCCCGTCATGAAGTTGTTCAAGAGAGACAGGTATCACGTAGTTCAGGCATTAGAGAATCTGCCTTTCATAAAACAAGGTTCGACTATAGCTGTTTTGGACGCTTTCAAGGCCAGTTTATTCAGTGTAGGATCGTAGCGTTTCTCTCTTTTAACCTGGATATGAAGCCCGTAAGGCGAGGATAGTCGCGCGTAATTTACGCGCTAACCGGGACGCGAGTGCTAAACTCTGTAATGCACATGCTGAACTGCGGTGGCCACTCGCCTCGCGAGTGTCTTCCCCTCTCCCGCGCATCACTTATATCGCGTTCTGCTTCGCCCCTCAAGCCACTAGTACTCACTCCAGTCACATCTCAGCCAGACTCGCCGAGACTTGTTCTGTATTTGCGCAGCGAACTCGCCCAAAAACCGACTTGTATGGTACAAACTGTTTCTCAGTTACGTAAGTGAAGTTCATGGTAGCTATGTAGCCTGCATTTCAGACAGTCTTAGCGACCTCATAAGTGGTGACCCATGACATTTGACCTTAGAAGTTTAATTTTCTTTTATCCATTAACCGTTCTACAATAGCCACAAGTTCTTATGTTCGCCCCACCGCAGCACAGCAGAATACATATTGAGCGCATGAGTGATTTTGAGCTGAGTGCAAAGTAGAGTAAGATTTCACTGTTAATTTTATTTTAGTGATAAATTTCTTCTGGTTATATCGATGCGTAATTAGTTACAAAAGTCAGTTAGCTAGTCTTGTAGATGTTTATCAGGGGTCGTGTGTTGATACAGCTTGGCCCGTTCACAAGGGACGCTCCTTGACTGTAGAGCGTGTAGTATTTAGGCAGGGATAATGTTCCTAGGTTATAGAAGCATTAACAGACATCGGCGGAAAGTGCCCAAGTTGATTTGCCCGGCTTACGCGTGAATATAATACTTACGTTTAACGATTAATGTCGTGTAACAATGTAGCAAGCACAGGCTTGTTTGTTTACAGAACAGAATCTTTGCGACAAGGACATCCGTCGTAGCATTCATTTGCGTAATTTGCGGAGAGGAAGGAAATTTTGTCACGATTAGTACGTCCACGTGCAATTGAAAAACTCTTTGACCGAAGCTAAGTGGTATTTCCTTCTCGGCGATATAGGGTAATTCTAAACTATTAAATGTTATAACCTTTGCCTTCACTTGTTGAAATTTCATTTAACTCAAATGAATATCGCTTAAGACGAATGGCTTTTAATTATAACCGATTTTAATATTAAACTAGTGCTTGTTTCCATGGGGGCAATTTTTATTGTGTTCATAAAAAATATTGTGCGTAAAGCTGAAAATAGTGAGCGAGTGCGGTGTATTAAAATGAATTTGAATTGACCCGGAAATTTCCTCTGTTTAGCTTATGTCCTTGTAAAATTGTAAATACAACCAACCGCACAATCAAACACATCAATAATAATAAGTCCATGACCTTTGTAGTCCCGTTATCAAACAAATTGAGTACCGAAGGAGAGGCGCGAAAAATCGCGTTTTGGTGGGCAATAAATTACGCCCTCTTCTAGATCTTTCCAGATATCCGCAAAGAATGAATTGAAAGCGAAGAAGTGGGAAAAATTTTGGCGCGTAATATTTGGTTACTTTTCCGACGGAAGTGGGATCTAGTTACGTATGCGAAACAAAAAAGTAGGACCCGCCCCCTTTGGCATGTCAAGGTTAAACATAGTTTTGTATAAACACAATTCATCAAGCTGTCTTTTCGCTATTATCATCAGCTTTTAGTGTTTTTATAATGCTGCAATTTTATCCCTGGGAAATGTGTGCTATTTTAAGAATGCAACAGAGCCGGCCCTTTGTCTGGTCAACGCTTGAAGAATCTAATAAAAAAAATCGTGAAGCGGTTGACTCAAACACGATTTAGACGCTTTAGATAGGTAGTTAAAAAATTTTAGCTGCTTTTTTCGCGGAATATGTATCATCAGCTAGCCAGGTTCATTAAGAGTAATACTTTTTTTTGTTTCTTCGAAAAGTAAAATTTGCGTGACTTGGTGTAATTGTATTAGGTTCTTAGGCTAAATGATAGCGGGCGGTTGCTCAAATTCAGTAAACATCTTTGCGTAGTATCTATTTGGTATTTCTCGCAGCCTAATTATGCAAGTTATCTACGAGTAATATTTCTCGTATCTACAGCATACTAGCATTCGTCCCTGTCAGCAGAATTGCGTTTTGAAAAAACAGAACTTTTTCTCGTTGTTTCTTGACTTCGTGGTCTCCTAGGAGCTCAATCGGTCGTAACATTAATTTACATTTCCACTAATACAATGTAAAATACTTATGTAAATAAGCAAAGGTTGCGTGTCCGTGCGTATGTTTTGGGCAAAGTGAAAATTATCCATCTTCAATCTCCTAGATCCGTTATCAGGGCATGTCATTCAATTGACCATCGTTGACAGTCATGTGTTATCATGAGACATGGGTCAAATAGACGTTTTCGCTTCTCTCCTGATCGGAACAAAGACCTTCGCTAAGGGGTGTGCTAGGGGACTGGATATTCGCTCTGGTATATTCTGGCGTGACTGTCAACAAACTGAGGAGTCAAATGGAAAGCGCAACAAGGCCAATGAACGCTGCTTGAAGTGATGAGCTATCGATTTTTTCTTTTTCGTGATATCTCGATTGACACTCACACGCCGAGGTGTTAAATTGCTGTTTACTCAATAAAGCTCACGTGTCTGCGACATGCGAACCTCGCTTTTCTCTTGCTTCCGAGATAATTTTTCAATATGACTTGCAAATTGCTTTTCTTTGGAACCACGATCGCCCGGGGCAGTACTTATTAAACAGTACAGGCTTTACTGCGCAGAGTTATAATTAAACATCCATAGCGGGCTTACAGACAAAACCTGATCGTGATAGCGGAACAAGGTCTATTTGACCAATCACACGTTCGTTCGTAACAAATGGAACCAGTGAAGCAGAACTTTCGTAGGCCCCCGGCAATTTGTGAGCCAACTTTAAAGAGCACTTGAACCTCGTTTGACAGGCTTACCATATATAGAATCGGTCGCCACGGAAACCCGACATTTTCAACAGATTATGTCAAAGTTCAGCCTTTTCAGACATGACACGGTTGATGTTTTTACATAGCGACTTACTGTTCGAAGGTTGTGTACCCTCCACTCTTCTACATATGCCGCTTTGCTGCGTGAAAGCAGCATTCGCGCGAGGGTTTTAAGTCAAGTAAGTAAACGCAGTTAACGTGGCCTTGGGATCCCGTTAATAGATCCCAGGTTCCAAAGTTGCCTCGAGATTGAGCGGCCGATCACGGAAATGCCATCCGCTTGATCACGCGCGATCTTCAACCACGCTAACTCTTAGCTCGTAATTACATCCACAGTCCTAATTTGCTGAGTGGTATGGCCGTGGTTCCTGCCCCTCAGACATGGTGCAGTGAGAAGACGGAACCTTTAGAAGAACCGACGGAAAAAAATGTGCAGCAAGTGGAGTGCGCAGTTTGCGGCGACAAGTCTTCGGGAAAACACTATGGAGTATTTACCTGCGAGGGGTGCAAGTCGTTCTTCAAGCGTAGCGTCCGTCGGAACCTCAGCTACACTTGTCGTGCATCGAGGAACTGCCCTATAGATCAGCATCACCGCAACCAATGTCAGTACTGTAGACTGAGAAAGTGTATAAAGGTCGGCATGAGACGCGAGGGTACGGGTGAGAAATTTTCATTTTAACAATACTAAATCAATGTTCTTCAGTGTGCGATAGTAGGTAGCTCGCAAGTATCCCGTGGCTGCTCGAGCAACTTGTTGAATGAACCCTTTCACCTTATCTCAACAGCCGTCCAACGAGGTCGAATCCCTCCAACTCAAGTACCGCAACCGAGTCCGCAGCATTCAGCGCTGAATGGGAGTGATGTGTCGAATGGTCATTCGTTTCTGTCCGGTTTTATCAGCCTTCTCCTGCGAGCAGAACCCTACCCCACCACTAGATTTCAACAGGGGTTGAACATGCCATGTGGAATCATGGGCATCGAGAACATCTGTGAATTGGCCGCTCGCTTGCTGTTCAGTGCGGTCGAATGGGCTCGAAACATACCGTTCTTTCCCGACTTGGCTGTAACAGATCAAGTGGCTTTGCTGCGTTTAGTTTGGAGTGAGTTGTTTGTGCTTAACGCTGCCCAATGCCCGATGCCGCTCCAAGTTGCCCCGCTTCTCGCCTCCGCCGGTATCCACTCAAACCACATGTCCCCGGACAGAATGGTAACGTTTATGGACAACGTGCGAATCTTTCAAGAACAGGTCGAGAAGTACCGAAACCTGCATGTGGATGCTGCTGAATTTGCTTGTTTGAAGGCCATTGTGCTTTTTACATCAGGTAAGTCAGCTCGCTGGGCGCCACTTCCTTCATCTTTGAAATATATTTTGATATTTTATTTATAACTGTCTTTGAACATTAGTAACATTTGATCTATTGCGGTGAATTAATAGCAATGCCCTTCCCTATTCAAGGTCGTGTGCTAGTCCACTGCGGTGCGGCCTATCGCGCCACCAACATTATTTCAAGTATATACCAATGTCACGGATCCTAATTGTGTTTTCACAGATGCGTCCGGTCTTACTGACCCGCAGTACATCGAGAGTCTACAAGAGAAGACGCAGTGTGCTCTTGAAGAGTATACAAGAAACCAGTACCCGAACCAACCGAATCGCTTTGGAAAATTGTTGTTGAGGCTTCCCTCTTTACGGAGCATTAATTCGTCCATTGTGGAACAGCTTTTCTTCGTTCGTCTCGTGGGTAAAACTCCAATTGAGACATTACTTAGGGATATGTTGTTATCTGGAACGCCAACAAGCTGGCCTTACCTGCCTTGTTCATAGAGCAAAATGCTATAAAACAAGCGGGGATTTTGGCGTTTCAGTTGAGCTTCACGCTGGCGCAACAAGCTACCGCTCTCGTTCTTGAAAAGAACACTAAAAACATTTTCTTCCCGTTCAAATTTTGTTAGCAAAAACCGGCTTCAAGCCTGAAACCTTTAGTCTAATTTTTACTTAGGTTCCTTTCTAGTTAGCAATTTATAAAGGATATTTCTTGTTCGTGCACGAACTCGCAACATTTTATAACTATTTGCGGAGACGACAAAATGGAACCCGCCGTTCCAAAAGTGAAACTAGTAGGTATGGTTTAGATATTAGTGACTGTGAATGTTCCAAGTTAAACTGTCTATGTACATAGTCGAGTCGGTTGAATTCTAGACGCTCAAACTAGCTTTTGACAAAGCTTGTTAGTTAGAAGTTGTATAGCGTAGTTATTTTTATTACAATGCTGTGTGGACCACGAGTAGCTTAGCTATATGTTAAAGTATTTTTTTTCTCGTCGAACTCTAAGTTCGACCAGTGTTTGATCTATTGCTCTATGGACCAGAAATGGTCACGTTGCTGAAAGCAACAGGTTCGATTATTGCTTCAATGTCCCGAGTTATGTGTGTCAAGAAATTGATGTCCAAGACATCGTATAATGAAATAATACAAAATTAAAGAGACATTTTGAATAGACGTGATGTTTAGCTGTTTATTATTCCTCACTTGTCTGGAAATGAAACGCACAATCCGTTTATTCATTGCTAGAAACAGAACTGTATTATTATTTTTTTTCGCTTACAGTAGCTAATATAAAACCTGGGTTATTTAGTTTGGGGCGACATAGGTCAAGATATATCTTTTACCCTGTAAATAAGAAACAAACGAGTCGTTTCTCTTTGTATTGTACACTTTGATCGGGGTGATCGTTGGAAATGAATGGAACTTCTTTTGATAGTGATAAAAATACACAGTACACATCGGTGGCAAAGAACAATACTTAAGTGTCCTGCCGACTCAAATTTGCTCGTTTCATTTATTCATCGACAGACTTATCAAGGACGAGGAGGTACTTTCCATATAAAATTTAACTGGATTAAATGAATAGTAAGATATTAGAACTATTATGGCGTGCGAGGATATTGTTCTGATAAAGTTCTTCAGAGTGGCCTCCGTCGAGAAGACATTACTTTGTAAACAGGCTCTTATTTTGGAAAATGTTTAGACGGTTAAACAATACTCAACCACAGCAGATCCGTCGGCTTGCAAGTTCACTGCATGATCGCTCCGTTATCGTCAGGTTGTGACACACAGGTGTTGTACAGTGATGATGTTATTTATTGAGAACAATCTTTAATTTGGGGAATGTTGCGTTTGATGGTGTTACTTCAAACGGCGGAAGACAGCTAGTTTAACAGAACACGGTTTTACATCAACAGGCAATGGAGAGTGTTAATTTCAGTAATGAGAAGAATGCAAATCTTTTCCAGCAGTTAACAGAAATTAAAAATGTTGCTCTCTTTCTCAGGCTGGCCGACAGACTTTTTTTAAGTGACGAGAATGGACAGCAGAAGTTTCTCTGTTAGTCATACCTTACATAATATCATGTATGACCTGTGTGTATAATTGTTTCCACACGGAAATTGGTTCTTCGACCTTGTATTTGAAACATAGTACCTTGCAAACGGGCTCAAAGTGTTCTAATTTCGAACCCAATTTCAAGGTCAATGAATATAGTGTTTTGGCGATGTCCCATCGCGTTGTTGTCTCTCATCGGTGACCTCTTGTTGTACGGGGAACGAAGGTGGTTTGAGTTATCTCTGAACTCAAACGGAGGCGGTGCTTTTTTACACCGAATTAGAAGCTAAACTGGGCCTAATCCCTCTGTGATTGTAGTCCTACTTTTTAAGCTTTCGACGGCTGTTGTGGTTGAACGTTTTCGCTCTTCTCTCGTAAACTATGTCGTCTGGTATGGTCCTCAAGAAAATCGTCGAAGAACGGTTTTTGGCTTTAAATTTGGGATGGTGCGGTGATCTGTTGCATAGCCATAACGCGTCAAAAATGACCTCTGCGAGCTTGTTAAACAGGAAAACAAGAAGCGGCAACATTAACTTCGTGAACCGTTAAAACTTTATTCTTATTAAATCGCATCAAGAGAAATGAACATAAATGTCCTTCACTCCCGCTTCTGAACGTGTCCGCAGTTTTCAATGCAATAATTCTTCCTAGTGATCCAACCTCGACTCTTAAAAAATTTCTCAGACATGAAATAAACACTCTCTCCTTTAGTTATTTCAGTTTTTATTCAAAATAAAGATCTATGTTTACTCTAAGTCACTTGGTGAAATAACTTGCCACTCACAAGCGCTTAGACCGCGACACTACCAAGCTGAGAAAACGAACCAAGGGAGCGCTATTTGTTTTTAATTTTATTAAACTTCTTACTACTTCCTGTTGGTCCGCGTTAGTTTTGCCAGCTAACTGCCCAGATTTATGTTGCGTGATAACTTGTACTTCGGCGTGTCAGCTAAATGTTTTGAGGGATTTTGAGTTGTAACAATACACGCTATGTTTTCCAATAGAGCGCATTCTCTAATCACATTACTGCACTACAATTATCGACCTATCGACCTCTGATATATCTTTTACGTAGTGGTTTCTCCCCGTGTGAAGTGCCTACCCTTTATGTGGATGCAGGAATTCTAAATCATCTTTCCTGTGATTTTGAACATAAATTTGGGCCCAAAAAAGCCATTTTAAAGTTTGCGTGATGGACAGTGTTTCGCGTGCTCTAATAAAATTCAACAATGTCTGCTTCGTATGTATATTAGCTGAAAGCAATTTCATTCGATTGTTTAGTGTCTGCTTTGAAATTCTCTTTGTCCGATCACCTTTTTTAATCTTTGCACTTCCAAACCCACTTCTCCTATTAGCGAGGCAGATTTCTCTTTACGGAGCAAACGCTTTTTTACGACTGGATGGGATATTTTAATCAGCCAAAAACAAACTCCAACACAACCTTTTTGCCGATACTAAAAGGAAATGGATTAATTTTCTGTCCAGATGTACGTCAATTACTTACGGTATAAACGCATCACTGAATTGTGTTTTGCTACACAAAAAACCGCACCAGAGCATTTTAACCGCGGTTTAATAAAATAGATGAAATGAATGAGACTCGATGTTGTTGCGATGGCTTACACAATGTGTTAAATCTCCAGGTAACCCTACAAACACTGAGATCACACAAAACAAGTGCAATGTAATACAATTGCCAGAGATGGCTTTATTGTGTATCTATTTTTTCAGGCCTCAAACTTTTCGTTTAGAATTGGCGCGAAATAGGAGAAAAACCGTCGACTTTTTTGTAATCTTATGAGCTCGAGTCGTTGAACTTACACAGAAAATGATGGGTCATTTCAAGCTATGGGGCTAGTGCGCGTGTGACGGCAGATAATCATTGGATTTTTCTTAATGACTATTTGTAGAAAGCACTCAGCACTGATTAACGAACAACCATCATTGTGTTTTGTCTCCTCTGTCTCGCATTATGTCTGGTCGCCCTGGTAAAGTTGTTCTAGCACTCTCATCAATTATAGCCATTCTGCTTGCTGAATGTTCTGATAATGGTTTGTTTTTCAACGTAACCAAACAACACAAACCAACTGTAAACGTTTTCTTTCAGAGCAAGAAAAATAAAGAACTGCTTAAAACCATCGTGTGACCGGCTCTCGCCAAAGAGAACAAAAACTCAAATTAACATTCTGACCCGAGGGTAGGACAGATGTAATCACCGTTGTAGGATGACAAACATTCACAAGGAAATTGTCCCTTATTCGCACGCCAATTTTAAAACTAAATGTCTATGTACGTTGATCTGATTAAGGAGGGAACACTAGGAAATAATAGCGGTCATTGGTGTTACATCTCAAAGCAAATTCTCAAGCCTGTCTTCGACCGTTGTTTTCCTCCTCTCTTGACCTAGTTTATCGCTTTCTTTTATAAACTTTCCCTCTTCTATTTTCTTGGGTGATAGAGTCAAGAGGAGTATTGCGCAATCGTGCCTAGACGTAACCTGACTAAAAACATTCAAAGCTCGATATATTCTTATTTTGAATGTTATTTGCGCTAAAGTCGTGCAAAAAGGCGGGATCATTGACTTTCTTATTAGGTAAGTATATGTACGTAAACTGATTATTTTGTCTTCTTGATTCTGGGAAACCCATCTTCCCATGACGTTAAAACTAATTGATTCCCGGCCGCCTTCAATACTCGCAACATTCTAAGCGAGACGTGTTTACTCCTTAGCGTGTGCTGATACAGCAATCAAATTGCACCCAGACATCCAATATCACGCATCGATCAGTGCCCGATAATAGGAAAGTAACTTTGTCCTAGTAGGGGCACTCGCCAAGCTGTCGGTGCTTTAGAAAACTATCACTGTAGGATAGAATTTGGAGAACAAAAGTTAGCAGATGGCTCGGTGCCTTCATCATAAAATTGTATTCATTCCAAAAAGTACTCGAAAAGAAATCTCGTTTACATTTCATTTCTGTTCAATATTTTGAAGTGCAATCACCTTTCAAAGTAATATAATGTAGCAGACCAGCGTCTTAACATTGCATTTGCGTTTAGGAAAAATGGGGTGTTGTTTTGTTATGATAGCGAATGCGGCTATCATTCTTCAATACACCTATACTAGTTCAGCGCAACAACATGAACAGTAGGTTCAGTTACTTTATATTGACAAAATCGCAATTTAAATAAATAGTCAACCACCTAGTTCTCTCTGTGACTTGAATAAAGCCGAGCTCAAGTGAATCGAATTCGGTGTTGTGGTACAACACGCGACTCGGTCGTTCCATAGCGAAGCCATCACGTCCGCTGTGACGTAATGAAAAGTGTATCTATTGAATGCACTTCTGTAAAGGAAGATCTGGGGATTATGCTGAGCGAGTTGGTTCTAAATTTGAGTATTTTTAAAGCTACAGTAGGTGTGCTAATTAAGTGATAAATCCTAGAGGGTAGCATAAATCTGTACCCAAAGGATTTACAAGTCCCCGCAAAAAGCTGCTGTGGGGCTGAGTGCCTTTTTGTTTCTTGTTTAATTATTAGGCCATACAGGACGGAATCAGTAGCTGAAATTGTTTAGGTTCAGCATTCTTTATTAAAGGAACAGAGGAGGCCTTTCCTGTGTGGGTTCCCGGTTTGTTAAGCTGTACTATCGTAAGGAAGTTTTAAGGCTTCTAAGTACGTGTGATCCTTCAATCAGAAGTTGTTGAACTGCGCTTCCCCGTTGTACAATTTAAAAATTCATCATCTACGAGAAGGATTGTCACTAGTATTTAACCAGAAGCTTCAGTTATCCTTTAAAAGAAAACTGTTGTTCTGTCTTATTGTAATACTACATGATGAAAGATTTTTTTTAACTTTTAAACAGCAATAAATAAAACCCATTCAAACGGGACCTGAGCAGAGCTTTTCACGAGTAGTGTTTACTTTTAACAACTGAACAAGGCGTCGCTCACTTTTGAGTCAAATTGGACCATTTTTGGGCAGGCTTACTAGATTCTTTCATTTTATTCTACAGCTATTGTGCAAGGCCGTTCTAAAACCTAACGAAATTTCATTCTTTCTTCGTGTGTGATTTCTTTTGAATGCAGAGTTATTTCGTTGTGTTCTCCCATGTTCACTGGTCTATTGTAATCACGTCGCATAATCCGGGTGTTTGTAGCCCGTGGAAAAAACTTCAAAAAAGATTCAAAAGCCTATTCTTGTAACTGATATATTATCAGTTGGTTTCAAACGGGTGCCCGTAAGATTTCGAGTCAAATTTGACAATTCAAACCAGAAGGCCACGAGTAGCTCTTTCCTGAAGTGCTATGTTTAATGGGATTTGAATTTTTTAAGATTGTGAATATGTTTAAGGTGGGTTTCGGGTTGAAATCTTTGAATGCTGATTCAGGTAATCTGTTTCTCTTCCATTAGTGCAAAATTAAAATGGCCATACGTTTCGTGGCTCTTTTAGTTCAGGTAAAACGGTTGCAGTCAGACTATATTCACCGTGTTGACTCGGTAATCAATATGTGGTTATTGTTTATCAAAATATCATTTCATTAGCTAATGTAAGAGCTAACCCTTAATGACAAACATATAAAGGCTTTCTCCTCCTTTTTAACTTTTTTGCTTGCGGGAAAGAATCTGAAATAGGGAAACTCTGGATCCAAGGGAAATATTAGGTTAGCCTTGATCCAAGTACAATGCTGCTGAAAGCTGACTGTAATTATCACATTAAAATGTGGCGAAGTAGAGGTTTTTATTTATGTTACCATTTAAAAAGAAGAATAAAAAATTACTAAGTGACTTGTAATGAAAGTACGTATCAAGATCAGACTATCTATACGACACGGATGTGCCGGCAAGGGGTGTGAAAAATAAACATTGCTCACCCGTTTGTTTCAATGCCATGAACTTTGTTTATTTAAGAAAATACAACAGGTGTATTGAAACACAGCTACCTCAAGATGGCGAGGACCAAAAACGTTTATTGCTGGAAGGTTGGTTGGGAATAATTTAATAGTAATTCACCTTGAAATAGGCATAGAAAAAAGATTAGATCTTGATGTACAAGTCTGTGTGTGCATGATCCAGTTTATTTAAGTTCAGTCTTTTTATTGTCCAAGTGTAACTTGAAAAACCTTTATTTAATAAAACAATACTACAAAATAAATACACTGTCTGCTCTGTACTTTTCCAGAAAATATGTTCATTTTAGAAATGTATTAGTTTCGATGATTTCTTGTGGGTGGGCCCGATCTTGGCGAACTGGGAGAGCTTACTATTGAAGGTCAAATGTCGGTATCAAAAAAGGATCGGTTTGTATTAAGGACATAATTATAACTTTCTAGAAATAACAAATAATACACAAAACGCTTTTTACTCACAGCAACTGCACTGCATGCGTATCAAAGTCAATTCGCCAGTGGGTTGAGGTCCAAATAACACATCTTTCAATATTTATTCTTGATATAAGTATACAATTTATTAAAGCTGAGGGCTTATAATTTCTCTAAGGAATTTTTTCCTATGACTTGGGGGCACAGTTTCTTGGGGGGGTTTCACTTACCCGTGTCCACAGTTACTAAAATATCTCGTCTTTTTCTTAGAATTCCACTAAACATGCCCACAGGAGCCCATTTTGAGTAGTTGCTGTGGGGTAGTTATACTACTTTAATATTAATATATAGAACTTCATATTCTCTGGCAAGCCTACAGCCGATTGTTGAAAACTCTGGAGTTTCTCATTGTGTTTCTCACCAAAAAAATATATGTTCAACACGGCTGCACTTAAAGAATTATATTCTTTAGCTGAGACTACCTTTCAGTGATATGGGTGAAACTGTTTGTGTAGCTACGCCCTGTGCTCTAGCCTCTTTCTAATAGTCTATCATTCTCCTGTTCAGCCCTGAACGGCTTATTGTTCATGGTTATTTGAACTTGCTCTGACTTAAACTGTAACTTGTAAAATTCTCGATCTCCTACCTGTTACTGCTCTTATGGCATTACCATCACTGCTCGACATTATCATTACAGCTCGAAGCACTCCTCTCTCAAGACTACTCCCCTGTTGCCTCCATTTTGAAATATACTTCTTTTTCTAGGCTATACAACAGTTTTTTCCCTTGGAGACTGGCATTAATCTTCAGCTATATTACAGTAATTACTCTAGATTTCACACCATATCTCACTTAACTATTGAGTACATTTGTTGCATTTGGAACAAACTGTTGGAAGTGTTATATACATCACTCAGTCTTGAAACTTATGATTCAGGTCTTAGAACGAGTGAAATAAAGACTCTGTTATCATACGTTATCCGGACGATTCTACTCTACCAATCTCTCATTTTACTGCAGAATACAAAACTTTACATCGTCCATTTCTCCCTCTTCTGTATGGGGCTTTTACCTCTCTTTGCTACGACTTGTCCTCATTAAATCAGTGAGGCACTTTCTCGAACTTCCATTTCATTCTGGAGGTTCTCAGTATACTTTTCATTTTAACACAACTGGTCGTTCCTTTCTGAGGCGAATGTGGCAGTAAGTGTGTCTTTCTAACTCTCGGGTCTTTGGATTGAAATGAAATTTTCAAATGGAATTATCTGTTGACAGGATTTCACAATAAGAAAGCTAGATTTTTCATGTCTCTGAAAGCCCGTGCACTTTCCACTTTTCTCCAAGTATAGTAGTCAGTGTTCCTTTATAAAACCCTTTTCTTGTAGTATTCTCCATAATAATCGTCCCAAACAAAGCTATGTCTCTTTGTTACTTTCTTCTGTACCCCTCCTTTATCGTACTTTTTGAATTTTGCTAATTTTTTCTACTTTTAAACCTCTAATAACACTACAGTATTCTACTCTCTACCACTTTCAAACCTCCCTTGCAGCGCTTCTCAGTTTTGCCAATACTTTCACGTCTACGAGTACTGCTATAGAGTGAATTCAACGACTAGGTTTCTTCGACTTATATTAATTTAACTCTATCAGTTAATTAGCTGGATCGAACAAAAAACTAAAACACTTTTCATTTCTTCGCGCCCTTTTACACTGCTGTCACTTCTCATAACTGACTGTGAACGTGGACAGTACACCACTTCGATCGGTGCACTCTGTTTTGTCTGTGTTTGTTTTTTACTCATAGCATAATAGTGTTAATCGCTGTAGTAAGTGTTAACATCGTCATTTCCAACCCGTCACTTCATGAGTAAAATTCTAAAACTATCGTGATCAGACGGTGTCTTGCTTTATGCTCGTGTTTCTCTCCCTTTTTCCTGACTAATGCTACAAACTCCTATTGTTAGTAATACTGTTTTCCTACTGTTCTCTTTAGTCTTCTTCAGAGAAGTTTTCTGCACCACACAGCTGTAATCTCAGTCGTTTTCTATTTTTTTTTACTGACTATACTGGGTTAAATACAATTAAATAGCCCATCGATTTCAGTCACTGATACAATTCATTTCCAAGTGCAATCACTAGCTTTAAGTCAAAACTCCAAATGATTACAAAAACAATTTACACTTGAGAAGTATCCTAAAAGATCTTTTATTCGAATAGCTTAATCTTTAGATTTAATTCACCGAGTTAAAAGCTGCAAAAGAGACTTTCGCCGCCAACGATCGCATTAGATTTGTGGAGGTGCAAAGGTTGTTGAGTTGTTGACACTCCCATAGTACAGCAGTTTCAATCTCATGCAATCAGCTGAATAACTTATGATTCAAAGTGTGTATATGCTTTATCGAAAAAGATGCTTGTAATATTTACAAATGGATGATTCATTGTTAGCATTAAAATCATTATGTAATCACTGAGTCACCTAGTTACTCAGCTCTTCACCCGCTGTATGTGGTATTGATCCGTGATCGCCGCCCCGCGACCTCTCATGCTGGTCGAGCGATAATCTGTGTCTTCCTCCCAGTCACAACTCCAAAAATGCCGAAGAATTCTTCTTCCAGCAGCTCTTTCCTTCACTGATCTGCAAAATAAAATCGTTCAAGATCAAAATATAATCCGACGACCCGGACTAATCGTGTGCGTGCCATCTCTGAATGTGAGCGAAGCGTAACAGCCCGCGTGCCTGGTGGCGGACGTATGTTATTTCAGCCACAACAAGTAGACTAAATATTGTGCGCTGATTCCTATTGTTGAATCTAGACAAAAAAACCTGCTGTCATTTTCTCAAACCAATACACTTTCCACGTTGCGACTAGAGAACGCAACCCTCTGTAACCGACTGAAATGTATTGCACCTGGTGCTTCGCGCGCGTAAAGGAAGTCTTAAAGCTTCCTTTCAGAGTTGAGATTACAACACTGAAGCCAAACGGCCCGGGCGAAAGAAGCTGAGCAACACAGCAACCAAAATTGAATTTTCACTGCATTAACAAGCGCAACAAAACCCATTATTATACCGTGTATAGGTTGTGTTTAACCTTTTTCGACCTTCTTCCCCTTCCACCCTTTGTTTGAGCTTAAATCAATCATTCGAGTTTTACCTTTCGAGTCTTTTGTAGTTTGAAGTCCATCGTTCAGCCTTTGAGCTTTTAGCAACTCTTTCGCTCAAGTAACCATATTGTTTTCTTTCGCTTTTTTTTTGCTCTCTGGGTATGTTACTAAATTGCTCTAGAGATATTTTACTACTTTGAGTTTTGCCGCTGCCTCCCTTGGGAGTTATATTAAAGAGCCGTAAAAGGGCAGACTTCTGATAAATAATGACGCGGTTTAAAGATGGCCATACACCGTCTGAATAAAGATTCACTGAGCATTGAGGTATTACAAGGTCCATTCTCTATTCTGGAAGGTGAAATTACACTGAGAAACAAAAGGCTTTTCATAGGGCAGCTGGTCGGCATCAGATCTTAATTTTACTACACCGAGGGCCTGTTTATCCTTTGGGTTTGACCAGTTTGTATACTAGATAGATACAAAATATCAAAGCTCCCCTTTGAAAGGGAAAGTCTAGAGACTATGGAGCCGGCACAACAACCAAATGTCATGGTTGTGTTTGGCTGTTTCCATTGTTACATCAATATTTGAACATAAGCGTTGTGTCCTTAGTTCCAAAATACACGGTTTAAAAGTTTTATTATCAAGCTATTCTCTAAGAGCAAATAATTCCGGTCGGTGAGTGGAACAAGGCGACATATTGACCCTTGCGTTTGCCGTGTTTTATTGTTGGTAGCCGAAACATTACTTCTTTTCCTGATACTGTAGAAAAGAAATCAATAAAGGAACATATAGGATCATCTGTCTAAGGAAAAATCATCTGCGAGGCCTTTTATGATAGACAGAATGGCAGTTACTGTAGATCTTTGCGAATCTTTTAAGAGTGGTTTAAAAACAGTATCAAGTTTGAAATGTTCAAAATAAGTCCGCAGTCCACGGCATTGTGAAATCTACGTGTTACAACACTAAGGCTTTTGCCTTTTTTGCAGTTCCCAAATAATCACAACATTCGAAAAGTACACTGGTATTGATTGAGAAGTGATTTGCGAGATTAAACCAACACAAGAGAAGCTTGTACTGAGCAGCAAGGCAGCAGTTCATATGAATCAGAGATGAATGGCAACACTTAACAGTTTATTCATTTAACAAGTAGATCACTTGTCGACCCAACTGAATGTTTGACTTTATGTGAACGTCAGGTCAATAATAGTAAAGAGAATTGGGGTAAAAGTTAATTACGGAAGAGACGAAGGATTAACATATATAAGTTATGTGATAAATACAGCTTTTTTCACTCGGTTGATCCGTTTTTAGCACTTTTATTCGGGGACACCTAAGATCATTGCGTGTCGTGGGTAAGACTCGAGACTTTCGCACACACTTCGCACTTTCATTCACCGCTATCACACTTTTCTAGCACCTTTTTTTTGTTTGGGGAAAAATATTTGCCGGCGACGTCTCCGGAATATTGAACAGGCACTCACTCTCAGCCCAGACAAGGTCACAGTGTATCGATTTCAAGCTAAAACCGCAGAGATATATCTCTAAATCAGTGAACTGGGTCACGAGGGCAAGTGGGACCTACAGACTCAAAAGTATTTGCACGCGAATGCACGCAAGTTTTACCATCATCTTTCATTTAAGATGTTGCAGTAGAATTTACATGAAGGGTATAAAAAGGTTACATTTTAACTTCTGTATAGAACTAGCTGCCTTCATTGCTTTTAATTTTCTAGGAATGATGAGCCACTGCCGTTGTGCTAATTACATAAATAAGATTATATCTTCAATCTTTCATCGACTTACATAATAAAATGTTTCATGTAATGGTTCTGATGGTGACTGATTTTTTGCCTCGTATCATGATATTATCACACGACTCTTGTGTTATATAACGTTGTTCCACATCAAGTCACAAATTATTTCAATGATTAAACAAAATGAAAAAAAGAAAATAATAATTGTGATAAAAAACCCGAGTTATTTTAAAAAACATTTCTTTCCTAACGATAAATCCAAGATATTTGTTAAGAAAGACTTAAGCAATGGATTTGGGGTTATTAGATTATAAGCTCACTGCTCTTAACAACCACCGGGGTCCATTATCTTCCAATTCACTATGAGCTTACGATTCTAAGTATAATAGCTGAATTCCCTGTGGTATTCATTTGTTTGAAAAATTAAACAGGAAAGATTAACTGGGATACCTACTGATAATCATTTTATCATCTTGTCAGGCAGCTTCACATACGTGCACTCCTTCAAACAACTTATTAGTTTAAAATTTAGTTTAATAATTTAATTTGTTTATTTTTGTTCCATACTTACGACTAGACAAATACACCCCCACGACTGTAGGTGAAATAAATATTTGGCAAGTAAAAGCATCGTGAAGTATGTTGCAATTAAATGCTTCATTATTCTAAATCCACATCGATAATATCTGAATTGACAACAGAAAACTTGAAATCTGTATGAGGTAATAGTTCATGATTCTCACAATCCTTTGTCGCATCTTTCTGTTAGCCAAGTTTAGTTAGTAAGTTATCCAAGTCGGTCAGGCAGGCAGATTGATGGTCTTTGTCATCTAGGTCGGTCAGGTTAGCAGCTTGATGTTCTCTGTTAGCAAATCGGTCAGACAAGCAGTTTGGTCGTCGATGTTAGACATGCCGTTCTGATAGAAGTTAGGTGATCCGTGTTTGCAAAGTGGGTCAGGCAGAAAACGTAACTTGATGGTCCATGTTTCCCTGAAATCGCTTTGACAGGCAGTTTAATCTTCTATGCTAGTAATCAGCCAGTCAATCAGTTGTACTCTCTCATTTCATTCGCAAAGTTGGCTAGGCAGTAAGTTGAATGGTCTATGTTAACCAAGTCGGCCAGGAAGGCAATTTGATTGTCCAGGTTAGCCATGTCGGTCATGAAAGCAGCTTGGTGGTCCACGTTGGCCAAGTCGGTCAGGAAGGCAGTTTGATGGTTCAGGTTAGCATTGTCGGTCATGAAAGCAGTTTGGTGGTCCACGTTGGCCAAGCCGGTCAGGAAGGCAGTTTGATGGTCCATGCTAGCCATGTCGGTCAGGAAGCCAGTTTGATGGTCAATGTTAGCCAAGTCAGTTAGGAAAGCAAATTTGATGGTCCATGCTAGCCATGTCGGTCAGGGAGGCAGTATTATGGTCCCTGTTAGCCAAGTTTGTCAGTCAGCCAGTTTGATTGTCCCTGTTTGCAAAGTTGGTCAAGTTGAAAACTTCATGGTCCATGTTTTCCCTAAAATCGCTTTGGCCGGTAGTTCATTTCATTCTATGTTAGCCAAGTCGGTCAGGAAGGCAGTTTGATGGTCCAGGTTAGCCTAGTGGGTCAGAAAGCCTGTTTGCATGATGGTCCATGTTAGCCAGCCGGTTAGGAGGCAATTTGATGGTCCATGTTAGCCATTTCGGTCGGGAAGACAGTTTTATGGTCCATGTTACTGTCATGTTACCCAGGTTGGTCATGAAAGCATTTTGATGGTCCATATTAGGCAAATGGGTCACGAACGCAGGTTTGATAACAAGGAGTCCAGGGGTTAGATAGTCCAGTTAGGATGCCAGTTTACATGTTCCATGTTCGCTAAGTCGGTCATAGAGCAGTTTGATGGTGCATCAATGCCAAGTCGGTCATGAAAGCCATTTGATGTTCCATGTTAGCCGAGTCGGTCAGGAAGGAAATTTGACGGTCCATGTTAGCTATGTCAGTCAGGAAGGCAGTTTGATGGTCAATGTTAGCCAAGTCGGTCAGTC